CAGTTCCAGTTCACAGGGTGCGGTGGCTGAAATAGTTCCTTTCCACCCACCACGGTCACTTGATGCGTAGTTTGTTCTTGTTGGTTGTTTTAGTTTTTTTTTTTTTTTCCTCCTTTCTGTTGTTGGAGAGTGCAGACTTTTTGGGTGGGGGAGGGTAGCAGGGTTCTGAGCTTTCCTCACTTCTACTCCTCTTTTATGGTAACTTTCTTCTTTGGGCAGTTTGCCAGAGTCGCCCGTTTATCTTCTGTGTCCCAGTTCTCACTGGGACCTGCTGCTTTTCCTCCCTATTAACTTTTTTTTTTTATGGGAGGTCTTACTCGCAGTGTTTCCTTGCCACCATGTTGATGACCAGTCTCATTTCCTTTTAAATAGCTACAGTATTGTTAGGTGAAAAATGTCCTGGAACAGAATTTTCTGGATTTAAGGTGGTGGTAGGAAGTCTTTGTATGCCTAGTTTATAAACACAATCTCCTACCCTTCAAGAGTTGGAGTTGGGAGTAGAACTCAGGTCATCAGAACTGCATAAAGAAAAAGTGGCATTGTCACAGAACACTGTGCATGAGAAGAGAGAGGTTAATGAAATGAAGGATAATAAGGCCCCATATTTTAGATCATATAATGGGCCTGGGGGGTGTCATTAATTTCATATTCTTTACTTTCTTTCTAAGGAATATTATCTAAGGTTGTTTGTCCACAATTTCTCATTCTTTCTTTCTTTTAGAGGTCTCTTCTATATTCATGGGTTTAGTCATGATCTATTTGCTCCTGTGTCAGTCTCTTCAGCTCTAACTTCTCAAACTGAAGTCCTGTTTCTTCAAATGGAGCAGTTTCATCTAGATTGTTGCACTCTCACTGCTGATCCAACATCTATTAATATAAAAATCCATGTTATCACACTGTAATGCCAGATCCTCACTTTTATTGTGCTCCTCACCCCTTACACTAGCATACTCCACTTTAGTCACCAAATTCTGCATGTACTTCAATGTCTTTTTGTAGGGCAACAGTGTTGGGAGCAGTGCTGGATGGAGGAAAGATAACTCAAAATCCAAGTTGTGAGAGAGTAACCTAGGGGGGCTTATATCTCTGGAGATGTAGTGCCCCTTTCCCCAGTCCTGTCTCACATTAATTTGGTATCAGATTTAGGGAAGGTGGGCAAGTATGTGGAGGAATGTGTGGAGGAGGAATGTGCATGGTGGGGATGCATAATGGGGATGCATAATAGTATGTGGAGGGTTGTGTATTGGGGATGAATAATTGTCTAGTACAAGCAAGAGTGGAGTGAATAGGGGCTGTTGCCTGGGGGGCTCCATCATTGCTGCTGATCAAAACATCCTATCTCTAGTTCCTGTTTACACTAAACTTCCTGTTAAGGTAGTCTAGCTGGTTATGCTAATCTGGCCATAATGTCTGCCTGCTATTTTCAGCAGATATATTCATACCAAAACTTTTGTCCTAGAGAGAAGCCCCCTGCCTAACTCTACATTTTAGCTTGACCAGCAGCAACTCTGGGCACCAAGCAAAATCCTGAGAACAAGGGGGCCAAGAGAACCCACATTTCTCTTTATTTCTCAGTTTTCCTTTCAGAATCATTTCTATTACCTTGCTGGGCCCTAATCAGTAGTCTACATTCTCGTAATAGTTCGTACAACCGGCCTGTCTGATCTGTATTCTGTTCATTCCAACCGTCTTGTATATTGGGGTTAGAATAACCTTGGTGGTAAAATTTCTCAGTGATTTTCATTTCCTGTAAAATCAAGTGAAACTTCATTAAACTTTATTTCACGATCATCCATATTCTCTACTCTGTCTCCTCTCTCCTCCCCTGCTCCAGTCCCACTGCCCTCATCACTTACATACACACTGAGGTAAATATGATGGTACCCCATCAGATATCCTCTAAAAGGCTGATGCACTCATCTCATATTGTTATAGGGCAGCCTCGATATTGAACAGGTTGCCTGGCTGTGGGTCCTCACCCGCGCACTTAAAAGGGACTTATTAATACTCCACTACAGGCATACACAAAAGGTTAATAAAAGTTTTATTTACAAGGGAAAAGGAAATAAGGAAAATGTACAACTCAGGGAGAAAATAGAGAAATAAAGGCTTTAATGCGTCCTACCCGATCCGCAGACCTGGAAACCCAAAGGCACTCTCAGAGCTGGCCGGACGCTGCGAGCTGGTGGAGAGCCAAAATGGGGTCCCCCAAAGCCCACGTGTCTGCCTTTTCTATCCACCTGGCTGCTTAACCCCACCCTCAGGTACCAGCCACCTTCCCTTTGGTGGTGATGGGATTTGGATTTCCCAGTGTCTTTGGCTTTGGCCTGGGGTGGGGGTGGAGTCCACAAAGCCTGTATGGAATTAGCTTTAGGACATCCTTTTCCCCCTAACAATATCACTATACATCATGAACCCACAGAAAAATCAACTGTTGATGGCTCACAGCTTTACAATTGGATAAGTGAAGTTTTCCTTCTTTATGGAGGAAAATGCCCTTGCTCTCCTGGAGGTGGCCTGAGGTCAGTGGTTGGCTAATGTAGCATACAAAGGCTTGTTCTTCTTGCTTCAACTTGATACAATTTTAGTATATCACTCCAGCTCCAACTCCCCCTAAGATACTTTATTGCAATCAGATTGCTTTTTCTGCTACACAATCCTATTTTTCTCACTTTCTTACAAATCTGTGTTCTCAGAGGATTCACAATAAACTTTCAGTATGCAACTCTTTGTATAAGACTCAGAGAGACTGATCTTAAATAGGCAGAAGTGTGATCCAAAGAAATATACTGTAAAATAGGCTCAAGGGATGGATCATTCCCTGTCTGGCTGCCAAGGAGGGTCCCTGGCATGTTATAGCGTTGTGTTGTTAAACTTTTCTCAGAGCTAAACAAAGATGATATCCTAGTGCTTGGAACTCCGGGCTGAAGCAATATCTTTGGCAGTTAAGATTTAGGAGGGACAGTGTGACTGTAAAAACTCTGGAACTGGTTAACAACTCCAAGTGGCATTGATTTGTTGAAGAGATTTTTTTTATAAGACTCAAAGTGAATGACTGCCAGTACAGTCAGAATGTGAAATCCACAGGGTCTCTGGCGGCATTTAATTAATCCTAGTTTCTTGAAGATAAGCAAACTCAATTCGAGAAGTAGTGCTATTTCAGAGAAGTTTATTTTATTTTTTAAAAAGATTTATTTATTCATTTACACAAGAACTGGGATACAGGCCAGATGCGCAGGAGGGTGAGGGGATTCACCAGAGACAGAGTAGGGAACAGAACAGGCAGACTGATGAAATACACTGCTGAGGGGAGCAGCGGGCACGACAGGAGAGGTCTGCTGTGCCATGTGGGACCCTCACCAGCCAGCCGGGATCAAACCGGTGCTGCAGAGACTGCGGACAGCTTCACAGTGCAGCGCTCAACTGCTTATGCCACCAGGGGAGGCCCAATTTCAGAGAAGTTTAGAGTCTGAATTCCAGCAAGTCTTTTGTACCAAGGTTAGAATCTTAAAAAGAAAAATATTCCAAAGAACTCTCACAATAAGAAAGGAGTAAAACCCCTAAAATTTGGATGGGTAGATACAAGTGAGAATTTCAAACTTCCAGTTCCCTGATGCTTAAAAGCCTAATGTTAGGCCTCCACCCTACTGGAGATGTACTGCTTCAGCAAAAGAAGGAGAATAAAGTTGATGCAGGAGCAGGAAATTAAGCATGGGACTGTGTCTTGAGGGTGCTGGATAAATGAGGAGAAGCATAACTAAGTTGGATAGCACCATGACAGTAATGTCCCATAAATTAGGATTTAACACAGTGGCAATTAATACCAGGCATGATTCTTGGAGGATCACAAATAGAAATTCAGGATTATATGGTAGAAAAATCATACAAAGATTCAGACAAGTGGGCATACTAAAATTGATTTGTTATGTAAAGCTAAACTACTTGCCTGTGTTGCTATGACTGTTTAACAAAGCAATGACGCCTGTGCTTATAACAGGACAGCATCAATATTGAGAAACTCAGTCATGTCTACTATCTGTAAGCCAGCGCTAATGCAGGAGGAGATGCTGTTATAAAGCTAAGATTATACATATATATATATATGAGAAAAACAGACCCAGTGAAAAACCTTGGGATTCAAGCAATGATATGGCAGTGAGTTCCCTGAATCCCCTGGCTCCCACCAAGATTAAGTACTACAGGAGACAGCAACTTAGAAATGGCAATGAATATAAATAAAACTACATGATTTCTCCTATTTCCAAGCCAAGCTTTTTATTTTTTTTTAAGCTTTATTTATTTACGCATATAAGAACCGGGCTACAGGTCAGAGGTGCGGGGTGGGGGTGAGAGGATTAAGCAGAGACAGAGCGGGGAACAGAACAGGTAGACTGACTGAAATACACTGCTGAGGGGAGCAGTAGGTGAGACAGGTGAGGTCTGCTGCCCCATGTGGTAGCTCCCTAGCAAGGGATCGACTTGTGCTTCAGAGGCTGCAGATAGCTTCATAGATTGCGTCTTAACCCCTTGCACCACCAGGGAAGTCCCACCAAGCCAAGCTTTTTTATAATAAATATTAGTTTCCTGCTGTATTTGAGAAGTAGTTACAGTGGGGTTGGGTGAAAAGTGTGACAAGTGTGGATGTCAAGGAGGATTCAGAAGAAAACCTGATGATGAACAAGTGTGGTGTTTACAATATGGTTTATTGGTTATTGCCCATTTGCACATTATTATTGCCAGTGACAGATCAATCATCAAATAAGTTTTCTAGGAATACATATATTTTGAGTTGTTTACTAAATAACGAAATTTTTATAACTTCAACACAAACCAATGAACTTCAGGAATAAGTGACTTGGAATATCTTAGTCTCCTTTCAGTGGAATTCAGTGATTCCTCACTTAGTGTCTCCATAGGTTCTTGAAAACAGATTTTAAGCAAAGCAGCTTCTCAAATAATGTTTTATTTAATTAATTAAATAATATTTATTTAATGTCACTTTGTTATAAAATTGATGAGAAAAAACCTGCTGACTTTCAACAAAATGAAGTTATATAAGGAACTGTTGCATTCTGTCCCATTTAATAACTTAAGATGAATTATTTATTATTGGGTTTAATTCCATTGAATTTCATGTAGCAAATCAATATTATGCCATTTCATTAAAGTTTTTAATTAGAAATTGAGTACTTTAATGGTATAAAAGTCAATTAGTAGAAAAATGGAGATAGTATGTAACTGTTTTAGGTCAGATAACTGTGAAAACAGACAAAACTTAGGACAAATTCTGGTTTGTTAAAAGACATGTGGATCATTGTTTGCAAAAGGGAAGGGGAGGTTTATAGTGAACTTCTATTTACAGCAGTGTCTTAAGGCTTTCTTGTTTGATATTTCTTATTCAGAGAGCATAGTGAGAAAGGGTTTAGAATTCTGTCTTCAGCTACTGATGTTTCTGTAAGATTTGACAATCCCCAATACTGGGTGTGGTTCTGCTAGACACAAACGGCCTGCTTGACCACCCTCTTGATAACTTAACTTGAAGTTCTGCATTCTAGTACAAGGTTAAACATCCTGACCAATCAGTTATCTGACCTAAAAATGTAGTATACCAGATCCTACAAGGCTCGGAAAGAAGAGCAGAACACTTGATTATGCTGGAACAATAGGTATACATCATGATGGATGATTGGAAACACTCAGGGGACCGTTGACTGATGTATAACCTTGCATCCCAGAGACTGATCCGTGGAACACCTTGTTGATAAGACTGGAACTATGGGTAGAGATCTGGGGTATGATTTCCAATACAATACCAGATAACATCCCCTGAAGCCCTATATGACATAAGCACATGTTCAGTTCTCACTCACTCTTTCTGTTTGATCTCCTACCCCAAGTAATGGATGCTTTATGATTGTGTTATCAATAAAAGCCAGTACTTGCTCTTTGGACAGCATCCTGCATTGTGCAGCTTGCTCCATGACTCCCATTTGCCAGTGTGATCCTGTCAACATAACAGTCAGGATTGACATCAACTCCAAATATCTCTACAACCTGGATGCCTGATTCTGATTCTGATTCTCTTTGAAGGTGCCAGGGCCCCAAAGGAGATCATGTGACATAGGTTAGTTGTTGAACTCACCAAAAAGACCTAAAACAAGTTCAGAACTCCAGTTTTATGAAACATCACACCAAGATCACATGTAATCCTAGAGTATCTTTATTCTATAATTTAAATGTATACCTATAAAATAATTACATATTATACTTATAGCTTATTTTCATTTATAAACAACAAATATTAAATATAATTTCAGCCATTATAAGGTAAATTTTGTACACACATAACCCCCGAAGGAGCTTTACATTGCAGCATACCATACTGTTTTCATCACTATACCCAAAACTGAGTTCAAAGATTGTGTGATCATGTCTGTATTCTGTGAGTTCATAGCTTACTCCTTCCCATATTTGCATGAGATCTGTGTTAATGAAATGACAGGGACTTACTTTGCAGTTCCTGACACTCTCCTTTCTCTTCCTACTCTGCTCCACCATCTGCCATTACAATCACATGGACCTCTTTTATTCACAGCTTTTCTGCTGCATGTTCTGCCTGAGTATGACATGTGGTTTTCCACTAAACACAAAAATCATTTTTGAACTTGGACACTTTCTCCACTCTTTGTCTCCACTCCCAGGTTTCAAACCTCAAGGATTTCCATTGAGTTCTACCTTCTGATTTATGGCTGTAGATACACATTTCTGAAGCCAAGCACTGTTTCAAAACAGCACATTTTGTTCAGGTCTCATGGTTTTACAGAAATAAAACCTGCAGTGGAGGATCGGGGGATGTATTGACCCACACTCCACACTGCACCAAAATTCTTGCACTCCAGGTAAATGTCTCCAGATCCCACATCACTATCTAATGTCAGAAAACCTTAATTCCAGAGAAACTTTCACATTCCCAGGAACTGGACCTTCTGAGCCTCCATGGCAGGAACACTTGAGACTTGGGAATTATTGGCAAAAGGCTTTCAACTGGTATGATTCACCTTAATCAGATTCCAAAAACATTATTTATAGGGAAGACTTTGTGGGACAATTTGCCAAAAGAAAGTATAATTTTTGCAGGAATGCAAATTATGTCTGTTTCTTGATATCAAATGACCACAATGTGAAAATCTCCATAATTTATTATAAAAACAGAAGGTGACCTATTGTTTTTTCATCATTTTAAAATCTCATTCTTCAAAAAGGAAGGTAGGTGCTTTCTGTAACTGTTCAACTAGATTTCTATTCTATATATTTTATCCTTTACTTCTTCCTATACCACAAAATGGCCTGACTCCTTATATTTTTAAATATTTCCTTCTTTTAACAGGATTTTTTTGGATTAATGTAATGATAGTGAAATAGTATAGCTTCTCACTCCACATATGTATATTAAATAATATAGGTGCTTTTGAGTTTCAGGTTAACAACTTCTCTACACCTGTCCACCCTAACCCAATTTCTACATTGTGCTACAATGCTTTAGCACCTTCAAGTGAAATATTATTTAATGAAAAGTCCTAACTCCTCCCACCTCCCAACCCAACCTAAGAATAGGTGCATGTCAATGAGCGGCTGATCAGGCATTATTCCAAAGTTATGACCTTCTGGGCACATCATTACTTGCTCTAGTCCTTACTCAGAATGCTGTTGCAAAGTTAGAGCCCAAACAATTGGAAACGACACATGGATACGTCATAATACTTTTTAACAGCTCTTTATAATATAGGCCAATTATAAAACTAACATTAATAAAAAGATGTGTGTGTGTGATAATGTTCTAATTTCAGCAGATTACAGCATGCACAGCAGAGTTCATCTTCAGGGCACAGATGGGGTGGTGGCTGGGGGCGGGAAGAGTGTGGCCTGCTCTGTACAAGGCTCCCAGGAAAGCCCACTTGTCATCCAAATCATTCAAGTGTCTCCTTGGTTTGTTAGGAGAACCTCCCTGTCCATCAAAGTCTTCTTTACATATGTCTGTGTCCAAATCAACATCACACAAAGGACAGCCCGACTCAAATGACTAGAATGGACACTGTCAGCTAGAGGCCCAGAGACCAGTAGGGAAGACTTGAGGGAAAATGATGTGGTCTTCAGGTCCCCTGTGAAGGGTTGCACTGAACAGTGAGACTATGGAAATATTCACTTTTCCACATGGTGGAAACTGAATGCCCGGATTGACAGTGAAGGATCCTCAGATTGTTGGTTGGTGGCTGATGATTTTTTCAGCATCTTCCTTCTAGTCTGAAACACAGCCTAGTTGAGGAGACCCAGGTGAGGCCAAGGGTCTTCTTTGTGATCTGTGTTTGTGACAAAGGGCATCAGCAGCTCTAAGAGACGATCTTGCTGCTGACAGGAGACAACATGTGAGTGACTGGGAGGACAGGGATTCAGGCAGCAGCAGAAGGGCCCAGCAGACAGGGGCAGTTGGGTGGGGACCTGTATTCTGTCTCTGAGGCCTGCTCACTGCTTGTCAGAATTGCTCAAGTTCACTGACATGCACCGGCACTGCTTCACCTTCTGTATTTTTTTGAGTAGGAAGGGTGGGTCCATCCCAGGGCATTCGAGCTCCACGAGGACTGAGGTGACGCGCTGGGGCTTGCAGAAGGCACAAGACTGGAAGGACTCTTCCTCCTTCTTCACGTGCCTGGGGATGTAAAAGGAGTTGCACTGGCCATAGCAGAAGCGGTTGAGGATGGTGCGGCTGCGGCAGCCTTCCTCGCTCACTGTCTGCCTCAGGGGCTGCGTTTTGCACCAGTCACTTTTGAGGTACTTGCGTTCGGTTACCACCAGGGCCTCCTGACTGGAAGCCAACACCTCCTTGATCTGGTGCTGCCATCTCTCTGAGTTGTTGCTGCTGCTGTCTTTGTATGGTGAGGGGATGGCTCCCGCAGGTCGGTTCTTCCGGGCTTCTGTCACCTTCACCAGTGCAGTCACCAGGAACAAAGACAGAGAAAGCTTCCAGAACATCCTGTAATGAGAAAAGAGTTACAAGGGTTGGTTGGAATGGATGACAGTTGGGCACATGTTTCCTTTAATTGCTTTCTGGCTTTAGGAGGAGGAGGAGGAGCTTCAGTCAGTTGGGACAAAGCTGATTGCTAGTTGCTGGTTCCTGGATACAGCAGAAAAAAAGTGATGAAATTGTATGCTTCCTGAAGCAAGTTAGTATCCTAAATACTGCCCCATGATAAGAAGATGCACAAAATATTAATCTATAATGCATCTAGAAAACATACACTTTGAACAATTTCAGGATTACAAAGCAGAAGCTGTCACAAAACAGCCCAAGCCAGTTTGCTGAACTGCCAAGTACGTTTTGGTGTCTGCCCAGTATAGGCAAAGAGATTTACATGTACATCTCTTTTGAGCCTCAAAAAACTCTTAAGTTGGAGGTGGCATTATTCTCTCTCCTTTACAATAAAGGAAACTGAGGGTCACAGAGTTTCAATAAATTCAAGCCTGCACAACCACTAAGGAATGAGCAAGGATTTGTTTCATTATGTTTACTGAGGTTAATGTTGGTTTACACCATTGTATATGTTTTAGGGGTGAAGTTTCACACCTCTACAGATATATACTATCACATCACTCCTATCACCACCAAAGCACCCATAAAGCTCTGATATAGTCCATTTGCTTCTCACTCCTTTCTTCCCCAGTCACAACTCAGTTCTGAAGTCCGATTTCAAAGATTTTTTTTTATTTGCTTTATTATAGTTCACATATGAGTGAAATAAATGATCTCTGTATTTTTCTTTGTCCTGATGCAAAAAAATACATCATGACTTTCCCAACAACCCAATAAATATTTTGTTTAACGCAATCCTCTCCAGTTCCATTTGTGTCACAGATGGCAAGTTATCATTGTTAATGGCTGAGCAGTATTCCAGCCTCTGCCCATTTTAAAATCTGGCTGCATGTTTTTTTCCCTGTTATGAGATATTTACAGGTTATGAAAATGACCATTTGTCTGATATATGATTTTCAAGTATCTTATTCCAATCATTATGCTGATTTTTCATTTTGACAATGACTTCATTCACTCTTCAGAAGCTTTTAAGATGTAGACCCATTTGTTTATTCTCTTTTGTTTCCTTTGCTGTTAGAGACATAACCACAAAGATGTTCTTTAGGCCCTGAACCTTTGTGTTTCTGTGGTACATGTAATGTCTTCTTTTTCATTTATCTTTCAGAGTCTTTTGTCTTTTTTTCTTAATGAATTGGGCCAAAAGTTTGTCAATTTTGTTGATTTAAAAGAAAACAGTTTTGATTCATGGTTATTTTGTTGTTTCCTTGGTTTCTGTTTTGTTTATTTCTACTTTGAGTTTTAAAATTCCTTACCTCTGACTTTGGGCTTAATTTTCTCTTTCGTTTTCTTGTTCATTTAGGTATACAGTTAGGTTTTTTGATATTTTCCTATTGCTTCAGATGAGCTGTATTGTTATAAATTTTCCTCTTGTACAACTGCTTTTGCTGCATCCCCAAAATTCTGGTATATAGTATTTTCATTCTCATTTCTCTCATTTATTTACTTTTTGATCTCTCCTATGACCTAATAGTTTATTAGTAGCATGTTGTTTTATTTATTTATTTATTTTAAAAAGATTTATTTATTTATACAAGCACTGGGTACAGTCAGAAGCGCGGGAGGGTGAGAGAATTCACCAGACCCAGAGCGGGGAGCACAGCAGGCAGAAGGACTGAAGTACACTGCTGAGGGGAGCAGCGGGCGGCAGGAGAGGTCTGCGCGCCATGTGGGACCCTCCTCTGGTGGCCGGGGAGCAGCCGGGGATTGAACCGGCACTGCAGAGGCTGCGGGCAGCTTCGCAACCCAGCGCTCAACCGCTGCGCCACCGAGGAGGCCCAGTAGCATGTTGTTTTATTTCCACATATTTGTAGTATTTTATTTTATTTTATTATTTTTTTTTTTTTTTCAGATTTCTTCTTGTAGTTGATTTGTAATCTCATGACATTTTGGTCTCAAAAGATGCTTCGTACAATTATTATTTTATTGACTTGTTTTATATACCAACATGTTTCATTCTTTTTTTTTAACTGTGTTATAGTTTTAGGTTCCAGAACATTAGAGTCTGCTTGTGGGCCTGTTAAGGACTGAATCCAGGCCTGCCTGTTGGTGCAAGTGGTTAAGACACAGCACCATGAAGCTATCAGCAACCACTGCAGCACAAGTTTCATCTCTGGCACGGGAGGTGACCCACATGGCACAACAGATCTTTCCTGTCTTGCCCACTGTTTCCCTCAGCAATGTATTTCAGTATATCTGACTGTTCTGCTCCCTAATCTTTCACCTGTGAATCCTTTCATCCCCCACATCTCTGGCCTGCACACCAGCTCTTGTATGCATAAATAAATCAGTCATTTAAAAAAATTAAAAATTAAAAAAAAATAAGGACTGAATCTCAGTCATTACCTTTCCCTTGACTTTCTCTTCTCAATTCCCTCTGACCCTTAATACAGTGATTCTGGATCATAATAACGGGATGCCAGGTGTCAGGGACAACAATCCCCCCATTTCCCAGGGAAAAGACTCACACACTAGAGGTAGCTTCCTTAATGCCTCATTTTCCCCCAATGGGGTTTCTTCTGAGAATGTCTCTGTTCCATCTATCCCTGTGGGTAGTGCCTTTTTACCTCTTGTTGTACACTCTTTATTCATCTGGGTTTCAAATATGCTTCTATGTAGATAAGTCCATTTTTTTTTCAAGATTTATTTGTTTCTGCATACAAGAACTTGGGTACAGGCCAGAGGTTTGGGAGATGAGAGGACTCACCAGAGGCAGAGTGGGCAACAGAACAGACAGACTGCTCGTGAGTCAGGAGAGGTCTGCTGTGCCATGAGGGTAGCTCCCTGTCTGGCCAGAGATCGAACTTACACTGAGTGGCTGATTAGTCCATGTTTAGGTGTAGATTTGTTGTCAGTGAAGAAGGTAAGCACAGTTCTAATCCACCATCTTGGCCCAATCTTTTCCTGCCTATATTATCTTCCATATACTTTATGACTGCAGATATTCCAGTGTTTGTGCCAGACATCTGTGCTGTAAAAATTAACCAATATTTCATGCATATGATTAGAAAAATAAAAATAAAAATGTAAATAAATTATTAACTTAATAAAATTAAAGGAAAGGTAGGCATGGCTTATAAGTTTGTTAAAATTAACATTAAAGTTAGACATGAACATAGATTATGAAAATTAATGTATTTGTACATCTATTAAATTAACAAAATAAATAATATTTAAATACGCACAAGATCTTTAAATAATTCAAATGAGTCATGAATTATAGAGAAAACCACTTCCCAGTTCTGAATCAAGAAATTTCTAAAGTTATATGAAAGTTAGCATAAGCCAATGCAATGGTACCCATATTGACGTAATATTTGTTCAGTCTCTAGATTAGGGGACCAGGACAAAAGTCCAGGAGAGGTGGAAAGAAAAAGGGACTATTCTTACTGTAAAAAATAATGTCTCATAAAAAAGCAAGACAGACTCTGGTGTGAAAGATATATTTCCTTAAAATAAAATTTATAAATTTTATTGTTATATTTTCATTAATATCCTCAAAGAACAATAGTATTCCTCAATAAAGATGATTCTTCCTTTACAAATAAAATTGATCTTTATCCTTTTCAAGATTATTACCATTTATTTATTTTCTCTCTATGGAGTTTACCTATTGTAGAACTCCATGCGATTCTTACTCCTTTAACATGTATACCCCAAAGTGACATGTAAATATATATATATATATATAAAAATTATTTAGTTATATGGTATATTAACACATTTATATATAGCAAGCATATGTATAGCCAATGGATAAATTTAATATCAAAAATATTAAACTCCCTGAAGTATTATAGCTGTCAAATATATCCATGCTAATGATAAGTTAATATTTATTTGTATTGAAAACATATAATACACTTACAGTTTCCTTTTATGTATAAACACAAAAAAAGGTTCTATTAAGTAGTTATTACTATATGTATCATCATTTTATGGATGAGGAAACTGAGGCATTGAGAAGCTTGATAACTTTCCAAGACCTACATAAAATATTTAAATTCATGTATCCTGACTTCAAGTGAGTATAGCTACCTATGTTGAAAATACTTGTGCTAAAATAGTGTAACTAGAGAGATAGCTTGAAACAAGGGTGGTTGAAAGGTACCAACTTCTAGTAATTAGATAATTAAGCTTAGGGATGTAATGTATGAGCTAACATATAACTTGAATATGTCTCTGTGTCACTGTTATTATTTTAAGTCTAATTTAGCACAGTCTAATTTAGCATATTACCCAGTAGATAATTACTTTATTTATCAAATATTTGTTGAGTGTTCTGGAGTAAACACTGACAGACCTTGTATATTCCACCATATCACTCAGAGATTAAAAACAAAGTTCCTCTAGTAGCACATGAGTTCAAAGAATATCTGTTCTCCTTATTCTCCTTACTCTTTTCTCATGGTTTGCTTACCAGCTATCTCCTTCACACTCTCTGTTCCAGTCACACTGATAATCCTTGTTTCAGAGTGTGCTCAGCATTCTACTCTAGAAACTTACATTTGTCTTTCACCAGATATGTATGGGCCACCATGTATGGCCTTTCCAAGAGTCTTTAATCAATCATCACCTCCTATAAGAAAACTTGTTTTTTTTTTTTCCCCTTTCATGCTCTGTTTTACTCAATGACAATTATCATTTACAGGTTGTATTTGTGATCTTATTTATTTTTGTAATGTCTGACTTGCCCCCACTAGAATTGAGAGTCCAAGAGAGCAGTATTACGGTTTTTGTTTCTTAATATATTGCCTACACTTAGAACAGTGCCTGGCAGTAGACACTCAAAAAAAGATGTGTTGAATGCAATATAAACACCATGTTTCCATTGCTTCTACAAACTTGAAATTAAAAACAAGAGAAAAACATGCAAACAACAATGA